CAAACCACTCAAGTCTTAAAATGTTAAATACTAGTTGCTCTTTATTTATAAACATGGCATGTACAATCAATAATCACACCTCTGGATTCCCACTGCCATCAGACATTCATTTTTGTACCATTGTTCAGGACACTCCTCATGGTTGACTACTCAGAGAAGCCTTCCTGACTATCCTATGTAAACCAGTTACTTCCAACCAGTACTCTGGGCATGTATTACCAGAGAAGTTATGACTTTTGGGGCTAACAGGATCCTCTGAAAAGTCTGATAAATGCAATGGATCTCTTTATAGGGATCATTGCTGGCGCTACTTAGGAAACAATGAAACAATAAGCACCATATTAAGGAGCCACATTCCAGGACCAAGCACGAAGGTAAAAGAATACATCACCTGCACTATACTTTATTGGGGTTGAGGGGTTCATGGGATGGTTTTTTTTTTGTTGTGTTTTGTTGTTTTGTTTGGTTTTGGTTTGGGCAGGCTTTTTATTTTCTTGTTTTTGAGACAGGGTCTAATTGTGTAGCAGATGCTGGCCTTGAAACAGTGATTCTCCTGTTCCACCTCACAAAAGTAATACTTCTCCTAAAAACCTATATAAAATAAAAATATTAACCTGACAAGCACTTCACAGTCCCAAACTTCTGTATGTTTTAATCACACTGTACACATTCTGAGTCTATGTGAAACTATGTAAGCCACTGTTAATTTAGCATTAAAAATGTACTTCATTAAATGAAACCTTAAGGACACTCTTTAGCAATATTAGCATGAAAGTCAATAGATTTCTGATTAAGAAAAAAAAGGGACCATCCTTTTAAAACTAACCTGTGTTTTTCCAAGAAGTCGATAAGCTTGTTGAACCTTGGTATAATGATTAATGTCAAATTCTTGCAGATTTTAGAAAGAGCTACATCAATTGTTCCTTTGAAATTAAAAGAGGAAATAAGAGGTGGTGGTTAGAGAATTATTTTCAAGCAATGAAAAGAAAATATTAAGACTAATCTGTCATTATAATTAATACCTTTACTAGCATACTGGATTTAGTAGTTAAAAACAAATTTAAATTAAATACAAAGTACAGTTATAGTTATATTTATAGCCACCATAATCAAGTTTACTGTGATATTACTAGCATCAATTTCTATACCTTAAACTCACCATATGTTTCAAGGGAAAAAAGTAAATATTAAGATTTTCAATCTTATTTTTATCTTCTCACTTATATAACTCAAGCCTCTGCTTAAAACATTACACATTACATATGAACCAAATTTGTGGACTATTAGAAAGTAATAAAACAACCTTTCTGTAATCAAAGGACAAGTAATTTCAAAAACACTGACTTTAAAGTATATACCTTCAAGGTTTATGCTTTTATTATGTAAATGCACTTCTTTGTGGGGTTTCCATTTCAATGATTTCATTTTTTAAATAATGACTCAACAAAAATCAATAATTTTTATATAGAGTGAGAAAAATACTAAGCTCTCAGTAGAAAGCCTTCATTAAAAAATTTTCAGAGGACAGTTACTTACAGGATTCTAGCAGATGCTTTTGTGATTATCAAATAATTCATTCTTACAATTAGCAAAATACTGCACTTATGATCAAAGACTACTTTCACAAAAGGTCACTTGAAAGTCCAACTTTAAGCATTTCTAAGAACCTTATCAGGAAAGCAATAATATAAAACACTAGGAAAATAATCAAATAATTCTTGTTTATATTAAAATGAAAAGTCTGCTTTGCAAAGACTCCAAGGAAGAAATGAATTAGGAATACAAGCAAGGCTTCATGCTCACAAGACTATCTTTTTTTTTTTTCAGTTTCTACATTTTTAAGGAATGTATGAGATATGATTAGGAAGTTTAAAATTTTAACCAGGGTTTTCACAGTAAGCCAATAATCACTCAAAAGTAAATTAACTCACTAAACTAATAAGAAAAGTAGTAAAAAAATATAATTAGTATATGTAAGTATTTTGGCATAATATAATTTACATGAGAATATACCTACAACTAATATTTGGAGACTTTTTTTCTGGAAATATGATACTTTCAAGTACTGTTTTGAGGTTTCATAATTCCAAAAGCATATTGAATTTACAAGTAGATTAACCCTAGCTTGCAATTTATGACATTCCAAAATGAAGAGATTAAAACATAGTAAGTTAGGAACATTGATAATAACAAAACGCCAAAATGCAATGTTGCACCTTGCTATTCAAAAGCCACTGGGAAGAAAAAGCCATTTACTTACAGTAAACCCTTCTTACCTCAATTTGTTCTAAAGGTCTTCTGCAGCTTTGAAATTCAACTCACTATTAAATAAACAGAGTCAGATATTTAAAAGGCACAAGTTAAGTGTTAATCAAATAAGTTAGTGCAATAAATAAACAAAAGTATCAATAGCATGAGCAGTGAGATGTGCTGATTCTACAGACAATGTAGCAAGGCAAGAAAAAAATAACAGGAAAAGAAAGAGAAAGAAAAAGAATTACAACTAGCAGTAAAAAGACTGTATGAGTAGAAAATGGTAAAAATCTATAGCTAACACTAAGAACTTAAGAATTAAAAATTGATAACAACTTTTAAAGATTAAAAAGTAAAAATAAAAAGTAAAATTTTAAAAATGTGGTTAATTTCTACATAGCAGAACAAAGAATTTGAAAATTAAGAAAATTTAAATATTTTAAAAAACAAATATCTGCGAATAAGTCTAACAAAAACACGACATTATCAGGTTAAAATAAGCTAGAGTTAAATATATAAAAGCATATGCCATGTTCACAGATTAAAATCTTCATCAAAATAATCTCCTAGAACAACTGAAATTCTAATCAAAATTAGAGCAAACTTTTTTATTTGTAGAAACTAATAAGCAGATTCTAACATTCACGTGGCAATTTAAAGGGCTAAGAACAGTCAACAAAATCTTGAAGAACAATGCCATAGAGCATATACTAAAACAGGTAAAGACATACAAAGTTATGGCAATAAGACAGTATAATGCTGACATGAGCAGATCAATAGCACAAAAGGAAAATAAGGGTCTAATGGCTAGGATGGATAGCTGGGAATATCCATTGACAATAAACGCATGAATAAATGAGCACTTGAGTCCATCAGTCATCAGGGAAAGCAGTTACAAAACACTGTAACAAAGAAGCAAAACCATTTTTAAAAGTTCAGAAATGACCACCAAATGCTGGCAAATGGAACACTTACTCAGTGCTAGCAAGAGGGTAATTTACACAACCTTTTTGAAAAATTGACTACTGAAACTCCACACATATGCTGTATCTCAGCAGTTGTAGTCCTGGCAATATATCTAACCGAAATGGCAGTATGATGCTTGCTGCATTATTTGTAATAGGTAAAAAATTAAAACTAATGTACTTAAATCATTGTATTTCATTACTAAGAAAGATTAGTGAATTCTCACAAAAAAATCTAATCACAAAAAATTTTTAAAAAAAGAGACTGACTTAAATTGTTAAATAGTAAGAACAGGTGAAAGATGTAACTTAACATACAAAAAAAATCTTAATGGCTTTTTACAACAGGTATCTGCTGAATTATAACTTTGACTCTCAAGTTCCTAACAGTCAGAGCAAATTGGGAGGAACACAGTATACAATTCGGTGGCTACAATATCAAAACACACCAGTAACTTAAGAGGAGAAAAAACAAGAAACAAAAATCGCTTTTGCTGTCTTTAAGTTCTGAGAGAATATTCTACAAGATCTGGATAAAGGAGACCTTTTATCTGCAAAGGCTCAACAGCCTTGACATTAGCCTTACAGTATATACAATAATGAAGCTCTTTGCATTGCTTCCTACAGGGCCTTTCAGTGCACACTGAGGAGATTAACAATAGAGGGAGACATACACATGATATATAGATAAAAAGCAATTTGTCAGAAATTAAAGCCAACATAATATAAGCACCCATCTCTTAGTGATTTCAACAACAAATTTCTAAACCTCTGAAAGAATCTGAGCATTTTCTTTTACATCCTACTTATCATAATTGTATTTTGGTTTAAAGGTGAGAATTGGTGATTGATTCTATTCTATAGTAAAACCTAAGAGTGAGCAAAACTGTATCATTTGACAACAGTATAATGTTGATACCTTATTAGAAAAATCAAGATCTCTAACCAGGATTTGTACCTGATATGTAGCTAAATCCACAGATGTGTGCTAAGAAAATGCTTATAGGCAAAACTCAGATTTTCCTTTGAAAAATGACTCTAGGCTGGGCCTCAGTGGCTCACACCTATAATCCTAGCTGATTGAGGCTGATGTCAGGAGGATTGTGGTTTGAGGCTAGGCCAGGCAAACAGGTTGTGAAACCCCTTCTCCAAAATAAACAGAGTAAAATGGACTGAGGTGTGGCTCAAGTGGTAGAGCACTTTCTTTGTAAGCACAAAGCCTGATTTCAAACACTAGTCCCACAAAAAAAGACAATTTCTAGCCAAAAAATAATTAATGAATGCATAAGAATGAGAGCTAGACTCCAAAATGATACCGCAAAAAGGATAGCCATGACTAATTAAGTTACCCTAATTAAATAAATCCTCACCCCACCCCACAAAAAAAAAATGCATAAAGAAAATGTGGTATACATGTGCAATGGAGTACAATGCAGCCATAAAATACTGTCATTTATGACACATGGATGAACCTGGAGGACATTATTTTAAGTGAAATAATCAGGCACAGAAAGACAAATGCTGCATGATCTCACTCACATGGAAAGTCTAAAGAAGTTGATCACATAGAAGTTGAGAGTAGAATAGTGATTACAAAAGTAGAATAATAGTTATCCCCTAAGTATATACAATTTTTATGTGTTAATCAAAGTAATATAAACAAACAAAAAAAAACAGTATCTTCTTCTCTCCCCCAAAGTGTTTTCTTCTGTGTTGATTCATAGCAACACCACCCACTCAATTCCAGTTGGAGCCTCAGTCATCTGCAATTCTTCCCTCTCTTTACCTGTAACTGTAATCAAATCCTAATGATTCTACCATTTTGTTTCAGTACTTCCTGTATCTCTACCTACCTATGCCTACAATTTCTCAGTTTTGTGTCCTAACTCAAACATTATCACTTCTTGTTTGAATTATTTTAATAGCCTCTTAATGAGTCTCCATAGGCAACAAACATGCCCCACACGTCCTTCATTTACTTGAAAAATACCACTGCCAAACACTGAACAACACCCTCCAAAGAGCTGTCCAGAATAACCCTGAGCAGGTGTCTGACTTCACACTGGCTTTGGTCAGTATTCTATGATTAGGCAGAAAAAGTGATTTCAAATAGCTGTGGGCCCTACCATTCCCTTCTGTCTTACATTCGGCAGTTTTATATTTGTTTCTTGCTTGATCCCTAAAGACAACTAAGTTTGCAGCTCTTAAAACAGAAATAAAATCACTATTAATGTCCTGCTTTTAAAAAGCTTTGATAGCTCCCCACTAAACTAAGACAAAGCCCACATTGGGTAGTATGTAAGACTCTTACATACCATGTAATGAATAATTAATTTCTTATTCACTTTCCAATGGCTGTATTTTAGCTAAATGGACTGTATGAAGTTTCCCAGTGACAACCCAGAGTTTCACACCCTCTTACATTGCACACTATTCATGATAACTAGAATATCCCTTCTCCCTCTTATTGGCACACATCCACCTATCTTCTCTCTCTCATTGGCATCCATCCATCTATCTTTCTAGCCTATTCAAATGTCATCCTCTCGGGAAGGTCTTCTCTCTCTCCCCTAAGTTTCATAACACTCTGTTCACAGCACCCTGCAATATGTATGGAGTATCTGTGACTATGTCCTACAAGCACAAGCCTCCAAGAGACTGAGCTTATTCGCTCAATGACTCCCCAGAACTAAACTCATGACCTGACTCAGAGCAGGTAATAAATATCTGCCGAGTCCAATTTGAAATTCAATGAAAATGACAAAATTTTACTATCAGTTCTTTAGTCCCCATTTTCTATCTCAATAAATAAAATTACAGAGATAAAAAAAAAAGGGAGGAGAATGTTTTTGAAGAAAAAGAACTACACTAGACTCTGGGTCTGCAAGAGGTGTGCTAGTAAGGGAAAAAAGAGAGAAACATTGCTGAAGTAGATCCACTCCTCTATCATATGAAGTTGAAAAGTTCACCAAAGGCTGAAGCTAGAGTCAGAGAGACAAGGACAATGGAATAATGGTAATTTAGAACTCATACGCATATTCTTTTAGGGAATATTTAAAGTTTGGAGGAAAAAGAATCATGCTTAAATTCACTCACAGATAAACACAATGATTTGTTCAATCTAACTATAAAAATGAGTGATAGTGCTTATTTATAAAATTACCATAAATCGAGCTGTTGTTTTTATATAACTCTTACTTTTTCTAATACTGCTATTATTTATAGTTAAATGATTATACGTTCCATGAACTGAGCTAAGGCAAACAGGGTAGTATAGTGACAAGTAGAATACTGTACATATAAAATATATGTCAGAAAATTGATTTTATTAAAAAGTCTTTCAAAATCTACAACTACAGTTTGATAACAACTGACTACTAAGTAAATATACATATATAAAAATTAGTAATTAAGGAGTGGGCATTAACTGTACAGCTTTTAAAGAAGCCCTTAGCTATCATTTAGAATGTGAATCCAAGTCATTTCAGCCAATTAATCAAAGTATGTTGAAAGGATCTACTCAAAGACATTTTAATAAATAAAAGCTACTTTTATGGTCAAAAAATTACTAGTTCTAAGACAGAAGGCTAAAAGCTTTTAAGAGCTATCTGCAAGCTGAATGGGATGAACTGATTAATTCTGCAGAGCGTTTTTGCCATTTGTAGAGAAAATATTAAAGGCAACATATCTATAAATAACTAATTAGTGGTGTTCTTTAGAACAGCTGCTCTAGGACACATGTACTTGCAAAAATTAGTCTTAGAAAGGCTGCAAATAAATCAAAATTTTGTACAAATTTGACCATATGAAAAGACAAAAAGGCATAGGGATAGCTGGCATCATATTGATGTTTACCTGGTCTGTTTTTTACCAGTCAAGTGATTTCAGTCAAATCCCTTAATATCTTTGGGCATCACTTTCCTATATAAGGGTAGGCTAAATCAAAAAGTTTGCTTCCAGCCCTATTATGTGCTAAACATCAGTTACTCAACTGTTAGATATGGTTCTTGAAAATTTGAAAGCTTTTGGAACAAACTTAAGTAAATGTATTTTCAAGTTTATATGTATGGCCATTATCCCTAAAAATTCTAGTCTGTTTAGAT